AGAAGTTAAGTATTTGAGGTTTGGCGACGTTCCAATTGTTTGGTAGTAGCTTTCCCTCCATTGTTTCTAGTTGGAATGATCCTTTGTTTGTTGCTGCTGTGATTTTATATGGCCCGTCCCAATTGGTTCCTAGTTTACCTTCTCTTGGGTCTTTCCTAGCCTGTGTTTTGTCCTTGAGTACATACTCTTCGACTTTGAGTGGTTGTACTTTGGCCTTTTTGTTGTAGTACCGTTTTGCTTGCTGTTTTTCGGCTAACATTCTTATGTAAGCCATGTCTCTTCGCTCCTCTGCTTCGTCGAGGTCTTGTTTCATGTTCTCGTCGTTGCTTGGTCCTCTCTCATTGGAGTATCTCAAACTTGGTTCCCTGACCTCGACTGGTATCATGGCGTCAGTCCCATATTCAGAGCAAACGAGGTTGTTAAAGTAAGTTTTGACTGAGTATACATAACAACAACAATAACAATAACTCAATAAAATCCCACTAGTTAAAAATTGTTATACATTAAGGTCCATATTTGGGTTTAACGTTTTCTTTGTTTTTTCGCCTTCAACTCAAAAGTAATGGTGGAAAGGGAAAAAAAAGAAGGAAAAACTATAAGGGCCTGTTTGGAAGGCTATCCTATAATTGGATTTGTGTGTAATTGAGTGTAATTATACAGTTTTGGCATATTTGTCTGACTAGGTAATAGTCAACATGTAATTGGATATAAGAGGGGTGTAATTACAGTCTGCAATTCTCAAGGGGGAGCTGAGAATTGTTGGTAATTACATTGTGTAATTACAAGGGTTATTTTTTGGATCTCTTTTCTTTACTTTTTAATTTACTTTTTTAAATAATTTTTTTAACTTCTTAATTTCTTTTCTTTTTTCAAATATTATTTTTACATTAATTTTTTTTGTCTTCTTCTTATTTCTCATATCCGAACATTTACTCCACGTGTTTCTACATAATTTCTCATATTTTGTTTCTTTTGTTAATTATTTTTCTTTATTTTTTTTATTGCACTTAGCAATGTTATTATTCTAATTTTACTAAAAAATTATACCTCGTAATTATAGAAAGAATACGTCATCCACAAACTTGACTTATATGGGTGATGTCATTAGAGTTGAATTTCTTTATTGGATGAGGTTATATGCAAACTTAACTATGTTAAAATGATAGATTACTTTTTAATATTTCGATAATATTTTTTCAACTTTTTTTTTTTTTTGTGATTCCATGTAGTTACTCATATTTTTTATATTTTTATTTTCTTCATTTAGCATAATTGTGTTATAATATTCTAGTTTTGAAATTACTCCTTCTAATATTACAAATAATGAATCATTAATAAACTCAGCATATAACGGGTGATGTCTAAAGTAGAACTCATTATTAAATGAGGTTATAGATTTATGTCTTCCTTCTCTTTTGAATTATATTTACTTAAATTATATATGTTGAAACTTATTTTATGTTATGTTATAATTTTGCATAAGAGTATTATGTTAATTTTTTTGGATTTTGAATTTATGTTATATTTTCGCTTCCATTTTATTTACTTTAGTAGTAGTCACTTATTAATTCAGATTGAATTTCATTCATTGTTCAGTTCGAATTGATAGATTATTTTTTCGTAAAATATTTAAGTAATATTATGGCATTATATTTATAAATATTAATCATTTTATCAAGCATGCAGTCCATGATATTCTTACAAAATATGTACTTGTTTTTATAATTGATTAAAGTAAAATATTATTAATTTGAAAAGTATATATTAATTGTTTTTACAATATTAGTTACAAATATATAATTAGTAATTAATATATTTCAAGAAATAATATCTATCTTAAATGTCAAATTTAATATTTTTTATAAAGACATATATTTGTTAAATCATAAATTTTAATTTTTGATAATTAACTTTATATTTAAAACTTCATCTAACTGTGTAATTACACTTGTGCAACCAAACAGTACACTTGTAATTACATTATGACAAACAAATAAATCCTCGTAATTACAATACTATGTAATTATTAGGTTGTGTCATTAATTACTAGGGTGCATAATTATTACCTTAATAATTATACTAATTCCATCAAAACATACGCCAAAGAAAAAGAGCATGTAAAATGTTTCTCAAATGGAAAAAAATTCAGTGCACCAAGTACATCATAGAGTTAATGCCAAATGTGATATGATCAGAAAATGTAGAATTTAAATGGGGTTGGGTCCAATGCCTAGACAAAGTAACGCAAAAACAGCTTGTGCTCAGTTGTCATATTTATGATCTTTCAATAATTTATATTGATGGACAATCTAGAACTCTGTCAAGTCTTAAAAGCATTTATATGAACAAACAAAAATACCATATAGTACAGTTAGAAACAAATTTGCCATCCATATAAAACATACTAGTAACATTTTAAACAAAAATTATTAAAATACACGTACCTTTACACATGAGATCACTGTTGCAACTTACTGCTTACACTATATAGACATAAATATAGATATAGATAGTTAATAAGCAACATGTTGAATCAGATTTTTATATATAGTTGAACAACTTTAAAATATATAAATTTTTTACTTTGTTAGTGACCATAGCCACAAGCATTGGCGAAGCCAGGAATTTTCCTTAGAATGTTCAAACTTGAAAGAAGTAATACAAGTATCTGACAAAGGGTGTTCAATATATGTTATATACCTCTAAAATTTATCTATATACGTAATGTAATTTTCCATTGAAGGGTGGTCAATTGACCACTATTACCATAGTGTAGCTTCGCCCATGGCCACAGAAAACATTGTGTCCAGTGATATTTCGTTAACTGATTTAAAATTTTGTATTCGTCGTAGAGTCCTTGTTGGGTGTGCGAATAAAGTCCCATATTTATAGTTGAAAAGATTGGAATGCTACATATAAGGTGTATGAATCTCTTAATGGAGTGAGACTTTTTGGGAAAAACTGTGCGGGCTTGGCCCAAATCGGATAATATCACACCATGTAAAAGTGTCTTCGGGTTGGTTTAGCCCAACAACTGATATCAGAGCTCATGTTCAGCGAGACGAGCATGGCGATAGCAGAGTGATGGCGTGGAGAGACCTGTGGATCGTAGTAATGGGTCACATGGAACTTTTAGTTCGAGGGGAGATTGTTGGGTGTGCGAAAGTCTCACGTCACGTGGGTAGCTGAAAAGACCGGGAGGCGACATATAGAAATCTCTTAATAGAATGAGACCTTTTGGGAAAAACCGTATCTTCATGCTGGTTTAGCCCAACAGTCCTCCTAATTTCGGTGGATTCCACGCGCTACACGGATAGTTAAAAAATAAAAAATTCAGAAATTATAAGCACCTTTATATTACTATAATTAGTACATTAAATTGTAGTTGAATCCCATGCTATATTCTTTTTCAAAATTTCACATTTCTTGTTTGGGTTTGGTTGAGAGTGAAGGAAATGCTAAAGCTACCTTTTTCCTAACTGTTTTAACTACTTTTCAGTCCAGCAAATAACTCTTAGACTTTTCAGTATAGCATTTGTAACCAAAGTCTAACAACACTTCATCTGTTCCCCATATCTCTCTCTGTCAAAATGTCACTTTCTATGCATGATTTTATGAGAAAAATGTATAGATTGGTTGAGGGTAGAGAAGAAGAAGTAGTAACACACCAAATTAATGCTAAAGTTTCAAGCCAGCAAAGTTGTTGGATGGACACATCTAACATTACTCACCTCACAAATTATATTCAGAAATCCTATAATTAATTTTTTTTTTCCCTATACTTTCTTGTAATCACATTCTACATTTCTCCTCAAAATATAAAAACTTTGTAGCTGTTTGATATAATTAATCCACAACAATGTGGAACTCTTCCTCAGAGAGAATTTTCTCAAGCACAACTGAAAATGGAGCTAACAAAGATGAAGAGGCTCTTGTGTTAGCTGCTTTGCAGAGGTCTCCTACTTATATTCGAGCCCGAACATCGATCTTTCGGGATATTTCTGGAGAGGTTTCGTTGGTTGATGTTGGTAAAATGAAAGATCAACAACAGAAGCAAGTTTTGGATAAGTTGATTAATGCCATTAATGAAGATACTGAGCTGTTCTTTAAAAGAGTTAAGCAAAGATTTGAAGCGTAAGTTCTTTGTTTCATTTGGTACATAGCTTTCCTGCTATATTCAATTTCATTGCTTGTAATTTGTATTTGTGCATTTTGCTTAGTAGGTGTTATTGCTTTCTCTGGAGTTTTTCTTTGAAGATTTAACTCAAATAGACTCCCACTTAATCTCTTAAACCAAAAATAGCCAGCGTTTGTATAATATATGTATCATTTATGTATAATACATGTATTACTATGTATAATCAATGCATAATCTATATATACCAGCAGTGGCGAAGCCAGAAATGTTTCCAAGGGTGTTCAAACTTGAAAGAACTAAAAAAAACTTCTCGACAAAGGGTGTTCAATATATATTTTATACATCTAAAATCAGTATTTTACTTATATACATAGTGTAAATTTTCGTAATATTTCGGTGAAGGGTGGTCAGTTGACTACTCTTTGTTAAAGGTGGCTTCGCCCCTGTATACCAGCTAGAAAAAATAAACATTGAATCTATCCGGCTATTTGTGTAACAATCCCTTTTTCTTTAGCAGAAAGAAATTCACTTGGTTTTATAACTTGCTTGAAAATAATGTTTATTTCTTGATACAAGTTACGTTAACTAACGCAGGAATTCCAATAGAGATTATTGATATATGTGTGAGTGTCAAATGGGTGAGTTGGGCCGATTTTGGGCGGGTAAAAATGGGTTGAGTCAATAATTGGGCGGGTCATTTGTTACTTGGGCTAAGATGGGTCGGGTAAGATGAGCTAAAATTTGGGTCATAGCCCAACCCGCCCAACTCTTATCAAGCTTTACTTAATATGTGTTGTTTTCTTCTGAATTGTATAATTACCAAATAATTTTTTTTTTTTTTTGTTATGGCCATAGATAACATTCAAACAAAAAAAAAATTATTTCTAAGAGATTTTGGCAAAGTTACTCATGGATCAATTTGGCTAAAAACTAGCCCAACTTTAAATAGGTTGATATGAGTTGGTCAAGATGGACTGAGTTCAATAAATGAGCGGGTCAATAACCAGCCCAACCTTGAGCGGGTTGGGCTCAAGGTTGGGTGGGTCATTTGGGCTTGGGCCAAATTTGACATCTCTAGATATATGAATTATTGTGCATGGATTATAGGGAACAATTGACAAAAAAGATCCATATAAGTGATAACTTAGTAGATTTTAGTCTTGTTAGTACGTTGATTTTGAACCTATTGCTTTTCTAAGAGTATTTTGATGACATGAGTTGAGCTTAAATGGAGAAATATGGTTAGTGAAGATTCATATAGCCGATCCAACTTGTTTGGGACTGAGGCGTAGTTATTGGTGTTGTAGATGTTTGGTTCAATATACTAAAAAGGCAAAATACATAGACAACCTCCTAAAGTTGACATCAAAGCTGAAAGAGCTAAGGGTTAAGAGTCTTAAACCTGATAGTTGAATTTGCACTGCATATTCTCATCAAAATAGTGATAACTATTCTCAGACTATTTATTCAACTTGATTTATTTATCGTCCATATGATCTTCAACATTATCTAATGTATCGTTTATATTCTAAAACCTATCGAACTAATCTAACTTTCAGGGTGAATTTGGAATTCCCAAAAGTAAAGGTTTGCTTTCAGCATCTTAAAGTTGATGCAATGGTCCATGTAGGAGATAGAGCATTGCCTACAGTTCCAAACTTCATATTCAACATGACTGAGGTAAGCCTGCAGATCTCATGTCTAAGCTAAATTACCATTTCACTGTGCCTAGTGTCTAACAATGTTTTTGTCATAAAAATGAGACAGACTTTCTTGAGACAGTTGAGGATTTTCCCAAGTCGGAGAAAGAAATTATCTATCCTAAACAACATAAGTGGTTTTATAAGGCCTTCAAGGTAAAATTTGAGCTCCAATGAAGTATGTATCATGTCGACGAGTTAAATTTCAAATCTCCTACGGTTGTCTTGTCTTCAGGCTGACTCTACTATTGGGTCCTCCAAGTTCTGGAAAAACAACATTGCTTTTGGCACTTGCTGGCCGCCTTGATAAAGATTTGAAGGTACATTCCATCGAATTCATTTGTTACGAAAAGAATTACTGAAAAGCTCAAGTTTTGGTTCTAGATCACATTGCAGTTATCTTTGTTTTTGAAAAGATTGTTATAGTTCCTCATTAATGCAGTTGACTTATTTGAAGATGTCAGGAAAAGTTACCTACAATGGACATGATTTGAAGGAGTTTGTTCCTCAGAGGACTGCTGCATACATCAGCCAAAGGGATTCACATATTGCAGAAATGACAGTAAGGGAGACGCTTGAGTTCTCTGGACGTTGCCAGGGTGTCGGTTTTAAGCGTGGTAATATTATCTAGACCTACACTTTTTTAAAATACTTTTGTTAGTTGAATTTGACATAGAACCATATTAAATTTGGGCAGATTTGCTTATGGAACTTCTAAGAAAAGAGAAAAATGCTGGAATAATTCCTGATCAAGATCTTGATATTTTTATTAAGGTAACGAGTAAAGCTTTTTCCAGGTTATCTATATAGACAAACCGCGTCATCTGAATATTGATGTAACTGTTTTCTCCTAGGGAGTAGCATTAGGAGAACAGACAAGTGTAGTCGTAGATTATATTCTACAGGTATTGTTTTTCTACATTCACTCCACATGCTGCATATGGAGCTATATTTTCCTCTATGTTTGTTTTACATGTTGAAATAGCTGTTGTTTTATCTACTGGTACTATGATGCAATAGCTTCTTGTGCTAGATAAAAGATAATAGCTTTATAAACTTCGTTGTACTTTGCGGACTGTTGTTTGGACATTTCTTTTATATCTTCTGAAATATCTGCAAAGATTTTAGGACTGGATATTTGTGCGGATACATTAGTAGGAGATGAAATGCTCAAAGGGATCTCAGGTGGTCAAAAGAAGCGCCTTACTACTGGTACTTTCCTTCATTTCTGATACTAGTTGATGAAAAAGTGTTGCTTGGAATATTGAAGTTGTGAGACATGCATGCAGGTGAGTTGCTAATGGGTGCATCAAGGGTACTCTTAATGGATGAAATCTCAACCGGGCTAGATAGTTCAACTACCTATCAAATCGTCAAGTATTTAAAGCATACGACTCGCGCATTTGATGGGACTACCCTGGTTTCTTTATTGCAACCTGACCCTGAAACTTACTGTCTGTTTGATGATATAATTCTTTTAAGTGAGGGCCATATCGTATATCAGGGTCCCCGTGATAGTGCACTTGAGTTCTTTGAATTTATGGGTTTCAAATGCCCCTCCAGGAAAAATGTTGCTGATTTTCTTCAAGAGGTAATTGTCAGTGTTCAAGCATTGAACTGATGCCATATTGATAGTGCTCTTATTTGGTTTGTCATCTTGCTATCTTTTCACAGGTAACATCTGAAAAAGATCAAGGGCAGTATTGGTTTCTCAATAGCCAGTACAACTATGTGCCGGCGACAAAGTTTGTTGAACGCTTTCAATCCTTTCATGTTGGTAATGCATTGGCACAGGAGCTGGCTATCCCATTTGACAAACGTGACGATCACCCTGCAGCACTGTCCTCTAGTACTTACGGTGTGAAAAAATCCGAGCTTCTAAAGATCAGTTTTTCCTGGCAGATGTTATTGTTAAAAAGGAACTCAGTTGTGCTTGTTTTCAAAATCACACAGGTCATAATTTTAGAAGTTTCATCATAATTTTAGATTCATTTTATAGTTATACTATTAGTTGTTGAGATGGAAATATTGTTCTCAACTTTTGCAGCTCTTTTTGATTATTTTGATAATGATGAGTGTGTTCTTCCGTTCAACAATGCATCACGATACACTTGAAGATGGAGCTGTTTATCTTGGTGCTCTCTACTTTGCAATTCTTATGGTTCTTTTCAATGGCTTCTTGGAGGTGCCTATGCTGATCGCCAAGCTTCCCGTTCTTTACAAGCAGAGGGATTTGCACTTTTACCCCTGTTGGACATATACTCTTCCATCTTGGATTTTGAGTATCCCCACATCAATTTTAGAGTCCTTTATTTGGGTTGCAGCTACATACTATGTGGTTGGCTTTGATCCTCAAATAACTAGGTATCGTTTTATTTTTCTTGTCGATTTTTTCCTCTTGTTTTAGATTCTGTATTCACCATGTTTGATAGAGTTAGGACAACTTACTTTATTTAATTGTTTCAGGTGCCTCCGTCAGTTTTTGTTGTATCTTTCATTGCATCAGATGTCAATAGGTCTCTTCCGCTTGATGGCAGCACTAGGCAGAAATATGATAGTTGCTAATACTTTTGGATCTTTTGCAATGTTGGTTGTCATGGCTCTCGGAGGATTTGTTCTTTCAAGAGGTCATTTACACTCTCAATTTCGCTTAATCTATGATTTAGTTACTTCATCCCTGAGAAAAAAATGGCTTTAAATTTGATTAGTTTGTAGTTGAACTTTCATATTGTTACAGATAGCATCCCAAGTTGGTGGATCTGGGGTTACTGGTTTTCGCCTTTGATGTATGCCCAGAATGCTGCTTCAGTAAATGAGTTCCGTGGCCATTCTTGGGATAAGGTAGTTTGATATTGCGGTTTCTATTTGTGTCTGTTTCATATCCAATTACAGTCCAAAAATACACTTGAATATACCCAAACATAACGGGTCACCAACATAGCAATGAAGAAATCAGGTGCAGTGTTCCATATGTACAAGTATCTATACGTTTATCCATCGTCCTAGTATTCATTTTAGATCGTTCTGTTTGCCAGTCAAAAAGCCAATCTATAAGCCTGTCAACAAAGATCAGAAGGTTGTTCAAGTAAGCTGATTTGAATAAATGCAACTCAATGTTTATTAATGAAAACCAGATATTAGCATGTATTGCTTCTTTTTAGGAACTTAAATCTTCTTAGCAAAAACAAACAGATCTCTTCACATGGTGTCGAAGGCCATCTAATTAACCTGTATAATTCATTATCACTAAGAAATGACTACTATAAAAGTGCCACAGCACTCGGTTGATGCTCCACACAAAAATATGTTTGGACTACTATCGACAAATGTTTCTCATTTGGTAATCAGTACTACTGTTGGACATAGATTTACCTTTTCTTTCTAAACTGGCAGAGATTTGGGGACATGCCTCTGGGTCAGATGTTATTAAAGGTTCGCAGCTTGTTTCCAGAGGACTATTGGTATTGGATCGGTGTTGGTGCATTGATTGGGTATACAATATTGTTCAACATCCTCTTCACGATATTTCTGACTTACCTTAACCGTAAGTTCTCTTCAAAAATCCTCCATACGATCATCTTACATAGCTATATTCTGGTTCTACAAGTCTTTTATTATGACGCGTTTAGAGAGAAACTCTAGCTGTCGCAAAGAATTGAGCAAATGAAAGATGTTTGAATGCTCTAGTATTACAAGTTGACATGTCTTGCTCTTAATGCAAACTGATGTACCTGTAATGTAAACTTTCTGCAGCATTAGGGAGTCAGCAAGCAGTTGTCTCAAAGAGAAAGATCCAGAACAAGGACAAAGAACAAGAGAGTGAATATAACATTATTCCATTTGGAGAGTTTTTGAACCACACACACTCATTCACTGGTCTGTTAAAGCATTCTCAGTTTCAAAGTTTTCTGTTGTTTCAATGAAAAATTCATGATTTCTGGTCTCTCGGCAGGAAGGGAGCAGAAGAAACGAAGAGGCATGGTTCTTCCTTTCCGGCCTCTTTCCATGTGTTTTAGAGACATCAGTTACTATGTTGACGTCCCCATGGTAAACAAACAGAAGTTTAATTCTAGTAACAATTTAATGCAATTGTTCCATAACAAATCCCTAATCATTGTCTGAGTTATATCTTCAGGAACTTAAGCAACAAGGTCTAGCAGGAGATAAATTGCAGTTACTAGTCAATGTTACCGGTGCATTTAGGCCGGGCGTTCTTACTGCATTAGTTGGTGTCAGTGGTGCTGGTAAAACTACTCTAATGGATGTTTTAGCTGGTAGGAAAACTGGTGGACAAATAGTAGGAAATATCTATATTTCCGGACACCCTAAAAAGCAAGAAACTTTTGCAAGGGTATCTGGATATTGTGAACAAAATGATGTTCATTCCCCCTGCTTAACTATCCACGAGTCACTTCTGTTTTCTGCTTGGCTCCGGTTATCTTCTCACATTGATCTGAAAACACAAAAGGTACTCGCCTATAGTTCTTTGAACTTAAGATCGTTTCACAATTTGTACATACAGAACCTGAGGAAGAACCAGTTTTGCAGGCTTTTGTTGAAGAGGTTGAGGAGCTAGTGGAACTAACTTCATTAAGCCGAGCTTTGGTTGGCCTACCTGGGGTAGATGGATTGTCAACAGAGCAAAGGAAAAGGTTGACGATTGCAGTTGAGCTTGTAGCCAATCCTTCAATAGTATTTATGGATGAACCTACTTCAGGACTAGATGCCCGGTCTGCAGCCATTGTAATGAGAACAGTGAGAAACATTGTCGACACTGGAAGAACAATCGTCTGCACCATCCATCAGCCTAGTATAGATATCTTTGAATCATTTGACGAGGTTTTCATCTTAAATCTTGGTCAATGCACATCTAATCTTCAAGTTTACCCTACTGTAGTTACAGCTCTAGCAGTTATATACCAATAAGCTTAAAGATATGATTAGTACCTTTAGCTTCTGAATGATTTTACTTGGTATGCAGCTTTTGCTAATGAAAAGAGGTGGAGAGCTCATTTATGCTGGTTCACTGGGAAACAGATCATGCAAGCTTGTTCAGTATTTCGAGGTAATCCCTTAACTCATCAATTCAGAGCTTGCTATGCCTTAAAACTGCATAATATATAATCCAGTCCTAATTTTGCTAGGCAATTCAAGGAGTTCACAAAATTAAGTCTGGACAGAACCCTGCTGCTTGGGTTCTTGAAGTGACTTCTCCAGCGGAAGAAAATCGCCTCGGCATAGATTTTGCGGACGTTTATCGGAAATCAACATTATATAGGTATCTCTGTGTGTGTGTGTGTATATGTGTGTGAGAGAGATTAAGAAATATCTGATTTTTGCTTTTTTTAATTAACTTTGTTTTGGTCAATTCAGGCAAAATGAGGAAATGGCTGAAAGTTTAAGCAAGCCAGAAGAAGATTCAGTTGAACTAAATTTCCCAAGCAAGTACTCTCAGTCCTTTTTTGGGCAGTTTCTTGCATGTCTTTGGAAGCAAAACCTGTCCTACTGGAGAAATCCGCAGTATAGTGCTGTGCGCTTCTTCTACACCGTCATAATCTCATTGATGTTTGGAAGTATATGCTGGAATTTTGGTTCTAAGAGGTCTGGTTTCTTTCTTGAAGTTGAAACCTTGCCTTTACCATTCAAAATGATATATATCTGTTCACTCATTTTGATCTTATGGCACATTTGTCACAAGACCGAAGTCACTCAAATGATTCCTCATAATCAGAAAACTGAATGCTGTCATACTGAAACTTTCTCCTTTTGTTTTCACAAAATTTTATTACCTGGAGTACAAGTTAGTAAATGTTCTCACTGTTTCACATTATCTACCAACCTTTTCACCACAGGAGTACTCAGCAGGATATATTAAATGCTATGGGATCCATGTATGCAGCAGTTCTTTTTATTGGAATCACGAACGCGTCCTCTGTCCAACCTGTGGTATATGTTGAAAGATTCGTCTCATATCGAGAAAGAGCAGCAGGGATGTACTCAGCTCTACCCTTTGCATTTGCACAGGCATGTCATCTTGATATTCTTCATGTGCTTTTTAATATGACTCTGATGTAAGACTTGGTCCGCAAATGATGTGCTTGCCTATCTAAATTGGTCTTACTGTTTTTGCAGGTCACAATTGAATTTCCATATGTTTTCATACAGACACTAATCTATAGTACCATATTCTACTCCATGGCATCTTTCGAGTGGAATGTCTGGAAGTTTGTTTGGTACATATACTTCATGTACTTCACACTTCTATACTTCACTTTCTTTGGAATGATGACAACTTCAGTCTCTCCAAACCATAACATTGCTGCAATTCTTGCTGCACCATTCTATATGATGTGGAATCTGTTCAGTGGCTTCATGATTTCTCGAATGGTAATATTTCTTTGACATGTTCTCTTCCATCATGAACACAAATGTTTGTTACAGTCTTTTTCATCATGTGATCATTGATGAACGAGAGGGCAGCCCGGTGCACTAAGCTCCCGCTATGCGCGGGGTCCCGGGAAGGACCGGACCATAAGGGTCTATTATACGCAGTCTTACCTTGCATTTCTGCAAGACGCTGTTTCTATAGCTCGAACCCGTGACCTCCTGGTCACATGACATCAACTTTACCAGTTACGCCAAGGCTCCCCTTCATCAATGAACGAGAAATTCACAAAATCTCGGATTTGTTATATTCACTTAGTTTTTTTCTCTTTACAGAGAATCCCTATTTGGTGGAGATGGTACTATTGGGCTAATCCAGTAGCATGGAGTTTATATGGACTTTTAACATCACAATATGGAGAAGTAAATGAACATCTTAGGCTTGCTGATGGTGTCCATACATTACCAATAAAAAGGTTCATTAAAGAGCAGTTTGGATATAGGCATGATTTCTTAGGCATTGCTGGTGTTGCAGTGGTTGGTTTCTGTATACTCTTTGCAGTAACCTTTGCTTTTGCAATCAAATGCTTCAACTTCCAGAGAAGATGAAGATAAGGGGCATACATGTAATTAACACTAAAGGTAATATGATTTCATCAAAAGAGTTTTGTGCTCTCAAATTCTTGTCTTGCCTTATGTGATGTTTCATACTCCTAGTGGCGTATGTAGGGTTTTCTGTAAGCGGCGTGAATATTTGAACAAGTGAACAAATAAACAAATCACTATAATGACAAGCAATATCATTTTTTATATTTATACCTACTATTTTACTTTGCTTATTATTTATACATACTACATATCTAGTAAAAATTCCCTACGAAGAGCTGTCTCGTGACACAGCTTGAGGTATGTATATCCGCCCCTGCATATTCCTGCATATATTTCATATGTTTCAAGCTAAATCATATATCTTGTTATCTGAACGCGACTGTGACGATTCCTGCATACTGAAAGAAGAAGAAAAAATAAAAAGAAAAAAATGTGAAGTATTCACTTTAAGATAAGGGGCATACATGTAATTAACACTAAAGGTAATATTAGTTTCATCAAGAGAGTTTTGTGCTCTCAAATTCTTGTCTTGCCTTCATTATGTGATGTTTCATACTCCTTCCATAAGTGGTGTCAATATTTGAACAAGTGAATAAATAAATATATATATTACTATAATGACGAGCAATATCATTCTTTATATTTATACCTAATATTTTTATTTTGCTTATTATTTATATATACTACATATCTAGTAAAAATTCCCAACAAAGAGTTGTCCCGTGACACCGCTTGAGGTATGTATATCTGCCCCCTCCTGCATATATTTCATATGTTTCAAGCTAAATCATATATCATGTAATCTGAACGCGACTATGGTGATCCCTGCGTACTGAAAGAAGAAGAAAAAAAGATAAGGAAAAAAATGTAAAGTATTCACTCTAAGTGGAGTGCCAATACTGCCGAAGATAGAGGCGGATCAAGCATATAAGCAGTTGATGCACCTGCACCTCACTAATCACTATCTTGAACTCGTTGTTTGTGATGTGTGTGCAAAATATTTAAGGAAAATGTTCAAAAATGTGTGTATATATTAAGTGGTAACCGCACTTTATTTAAAATTCTGAATTTGCTATTGGCTGAAAAATGCTAATTTTGCAATTATTAATTTAACAAAGAGCTAACATGCATTATATTTTGTTGCAGGGTTCTTATATCAGTTTTGATTTATTGATCAGCTTAAAGAGAATAAGGATGCAACTACATCTACAATACACATATTTCTCATGAATTTCTGTGACATTCAATTTTATATAGATGGATCAAATTTCTGTACTACATATATGAATTTGTATATAATAAGAATAACATATTGTTTTTCATCTCTCTTCTGCTTGTCTATTGACCACACATAATTTTTTATTAGAGAGGTTATTGAAAATGAATTTGTTACAAAATGCCGGGATAAAGAAGCAGATTTGAATCCGCACAAGAACAACAACAACATCGCAGTATATTCATCTGGGGAAGGTAATGTGTATGTAGAACTTATTTCTACCTTATAGAGATAAAGAGGATATTTATGATCGACCCTCGGCTCAAGAAAAGCAATTCTCAGACAACAACAAACTAACAAATCAATAAGAAAATTGACACGTGTTATATGAGAAGGATGGTTAAATTATAGTCGCTCGGATATATATATATATATATATATATATATATATATATATATGTATACTGGTTTCTCGGAACGTGCGCTGCACGTGTATTCCTAGTTATGTAAAAAAAAATATAAAATAATGACTACATTATTAAACTAAAGCTTTGAGCAAATAATTATAAGTTTATTTGAATGATCAATATCGTGGAACGTCATATCGTGACTTGTTTGTCTAGATCACGATGATCAGATACCGTCTAATAGCCAATTTGACCAAACTTCTAAAATCAGTTTATTTTGAAAAGTGTCTTTCTCAAAGGTGCTTGTAAAAAAGTACTTTTGGTGAGAAACAGTTTGTTTGACTAATTAATTTGAAAAATACTTTTGAGCAACAATTAGTATTTGGGCTTTTAAAAGTGCTTTTAAGTGTACTTTTCTTAAAGTGTTTTTGGGAAGAAGTTATTTTTTGGAATTTTTACATTCCTATGCCATATAACAAACTATATTACCCTCAATGTTTAAGGTTTGATATAATTACATTTAGTATACCTAAGTACCAATTATATACCATTAGTGATTTTTAAGGGTATTAATTACACTCCTAATTTAATGGTACCGTATATTCCTTCTAATACCACTCCCCCCACGTTTCTATCTCCAATTCCCACACCTTCACCCACGTTTCCCTCCCACACCCACGATTTCTGTATCAAAATCCCATTATTTCTTCCATAGCCAAGGCTTTGAATTCGAATTTGGATTTTCAAAAGACATTGTTTGCTTGGATTGGATGTTGTTGCAAAGATTTGAGAATTCTCTCTACGTCTCTCTCTATCTCGCAATCCCAAATTTCAGTAATATAAGAGGAAAGGAAAAGAGAGCAGCAATTCCACCATTGACAGCCATTAAAAAGCTTTGAAGCTTTGAATTCTAATTTGGATTTTCAAAAATTATTATTTGTTTGGATTGGGTGTTGTTGTTAATAATTGGGAATATGGTTTGGAGTTAATATCTCAATTTGAGGGGTTTTGGTGAAGATTAGACTTGGTTTTTGCTGAATTTCAGATTGAAACTCGAAGAAGAAGAAGAAGAAGACATGACATACATTATATTGCAGAAATTGTAGATAAATTATAGAAAAATTGTAGACTGTTGTTTATTTATTTTTCAGCTTTGTATTTTTGTGTTAAAAGTTTTGATGGGAGCTTGTTATTCCACTTCGTCTGTTTTGGAGCTAACTTGTGCAGAGGAGAAGATGTTTTTTTAAGTTATATATATTGCTATATCTTTAAATTCAAAAAGTATGGTTGTATTGTATTTAAAGAGGCGTGAATTTGTAGAATAGGTTGAATGTGAGGAATGAGTCAAATAAGACTCACAATTGCTTGTTTTCTACATTTAATCTACAACAAAACTACATATCATTTGAAAAATTAATATGAAAATACACAATTTCAATGTTTCTACAAATTATCTACAAAATATCTACAAACTGGGTATATTGAATTTTAATATCCCAATTCTCATTCAATTGTAGCATAATTGGGATTTTCAACATAATTGCGTTTTCAAATTTTACCCCTTATTATAGTGTGTGCTTCTGGGGGGACGCGCATGCAGGAAGGAAGTTTGAGCTTGATGTAAATGGCTAAAATATCGTCTGCTTTATATGATTATCAATTAAATAAAAAGTTATTTTATGTATCAATCCTTACATCTCCGAAAATTGGTGGAGTGACAGCTAGTTTTGGTATGTTGGGGGATATCATTATTGCCGAACCCAATGCCTACATTGCATTTGCAGGTAAAAGAGTAATTGAACAAACATTGAATAAAACAGTACCCGAAGGTTCACAAGCAGCTGAATACTTATTCCAGAAGGGTTTATTCGACCTAATTGTACCACGTAATCTTTTAAAAAGCGTTCTGAGTGAGTTATTTAAGCTCCACGCCTTTTTTCCTTTGAATCAAAAGTCAAGCAAAATCAAGTAGAGCACTAAGTTCAATTATTTTATTTGTGTTTGTAGCAAAAAAGTAGTTAGTTTGTCGGAATCAAAGTAAATAAGATAATAATGGCGCTTTCTTTGGTGATAGAAGATCTAATTGTGGAAAGAATCAAAACTAAAGTTGAGGATAACTCTTTTTTTTACCTATATTCCTGATTACGAATCAAGAAGCCTTTATCAACAAGAGTGAGTTCTTCCTTTCGTGAAATTAGGAAAATAAAACGAATTTCTTCTTCTTGTCTTAGGTATATAATTTGAAATTCAAATATAGATAATAGAGTTTTGTATCTTTCTCTATCTCCCGAAAAACCATTTTAGCTAAAAATTCATGTTGGGTCGGATTCGAACGAATCTTTCGATAATCTGTAAGAAACTCTTTATCTATTTTTAGAAAATTAGAAGACAAGAACAAAAGACAAAGAAATGAAGAAAAATAATAAAGTTTATTATGATACATATCTTTCTCATGTAGGAGATGAATAAGTCCATTTATTTAGTTCTACAGTTCTACATTCTTTGCACTTATTATACCTACTCAGTTAGATTTAGATATATAGATACTTAGATCTATACTAAGAATTTCAAATTCTTCAAATTCTATTAATAATAAATATTATCTAATTTCTAATTAGTAATTAGAATTCAAATTCTTAATTTAATTATAATTATTACAAGATATCTTTATTTATATAATAACATAATAACAGATACAAATAGTAAATCGAGGTACCCTTCTATGACAAATTTGAACCTTCCATCTATTTTTGTGCCGTTAGTAGGCCTAGTCTTTCCGGCAATTGCAATGGCTTCTTTATTTCTTCATGTTCAAAAAAATAAGATTGTTTAGATCCGCTGGGACCCAATCTCATCCATTTTTTTTTGAAAACGTGGACTTGTATCATAACACAGATATCTATTTATTGGAATATAGTATTGATGATAGGCTATAATTGCATATTTTAGTCCCTTATTACACTCGAATTTACTGCACTTTAATTGAGTTTGCGCTTTAATCGCTAGTGTTTTGCACTAATTCTGTGTTTTATGCCTTGTAGGTGTGATTCCGAGCTATATAGATGTTATGGAATGAATTTAAGTGATTTGAAGCTTTGAAGTCTGAGTAAAAGCTCAAGGAATTAAGCCGGGATCGTGTTTCGGGGTCAAATTTGATAATTAAGTACGAACGAAGACTTGAGGAGGCATATTGCGCATTGTCTAGTAAAATAGACATAACTTTTTGCTCAGAACTCCATTTGGGCTCCACAATATATGGTTGGAAAGCTAACTCAAAGGGCTACAACTTTAGTGTTTTACGTTTTTCCAAATTCCAAACGGAACAGGGTGAAAAACCGCGGTTCCACCGCGGCCGCGGCAGAATCGCGGTAGAAGATGGTCGCGGACAACTGAAGAATCAGAGGGCATGTTTGGCCGCGGTTCCACCGCGACCGCGGCAAGTCCGCGGCAGGAGGCGGAAATTTCAGGGACTTATGTGCAAAATACGGGATTTTAAGCCCTAAACCCTATATTAAACCAAGGAAACCGGCCAAGAAAGAGAGGGGACATATTTTGGACATAGATTGGACCTAAGGAGGCAAGAACACATTGGGAGCAAGGCGGAGAATTCTTCTACGAGTTTTTCCTTCCTCTTCCTATTTTTCATTGTTGGTTATGACTTTTAGTATTGTAGTTTTACATGCTATTATGAATAGCTAATTTGTTATCTAGAGTTTTGATAGAACCTTTTGTAGGATAAATTCTTGTTAGGTTTTTATATAATTGAGCCATAGCTTTTCTCTATTTATTCAACTACGATTATATTCTGGTTGATTGAAGAGCTCTCAATTAGCTGTGCCTATTTAGTATGCATAAATCGGGAGTTAGTGCATATTTAGGTAATTGTTGAACAACACCACTCCCAGAGTATATGAGGGATCAATAACCGAGGGTTTAAAGGCGGGATTAGGGATAACGAAGCCTTGGGTGCGATCTGAAGTGAGCTGTATTAAAAGCCAGTTAGCGTAGCTCGGGAGAGCGCGTCTAGTAAATTGTCTTAATTACTCAGGAGAGATTTACGGTAATAAGAGTGCTCATGATCGGTAGAGAATACTTAGGCGAAATTATAGAAGACATAGCGGGAAGGATTCCGACAATTGGGGAAATCATAACTCTAGACCTCCTTAATCTTTTCTCTAACCCTCAGTATCGTTAGTTGTTAATTTACTATTTTAATTTGTTAGTTAATTAGTTAAACACAAAAATCTTAATATATATAAGTTAGGAATTGTTCAAGCTTGTCTTCTTGGTGATAGTGAACAGCTGTAGCTAAACCTTAGTTCTTTGTGGGATTCGACTCCGGACTTGTAAACCGGATTATATTTGCAGCGACCGCATTGTCCTTTTTATAAGGCATAGTTGGGCGTGATCAAATTTTGGCGCCGTTGCCGGGGAACTAACGGTGTAGTTGTAGGTGTACATATTGCTAGGTTTCAAGTTTGAACTTTTATTTTATTATTTGATTTTTTTTATTTTTTTATTATTTTAGTTTTATTTGTTTATTTGAGAAACATGACATCATGGAATTATGAGAATTTTGTTGTTGGTAATTCTACTTTTGATCCTCCTTATGCATATTGTGAAGGAAACCACCTAGGGCAAAATTATCAAAATATTCCTCAGAGCGAATTTTGTGCACCAACTCAATCTTATGTGTGGAATGTGT